CTTGTCACAGAGCTAATGTCCCTGCCCGCATGGGCCAGATGCACGGACTGAGGAAACCCTCAGGGCTGTTCCAGCCTCAGCTGCTTCCAATAAAATAAACTAACTTGCTGTCACGGCGGCGGGAATTTCTTGACAGAAGTTGCCTGTGAGGCTGGTGAGGGTAATGGCTGACCCTGCCAGTGCCTGGCTCTTGCCGTCGGAAAGCGGGCCGGCCCTGTCCCTGTGAGGTCTCACTGCAAGTGTGCTCGAGTTGTCTTCGAGGGTATTCACAGAAGAAAGACCTCCCTCCCACGGCTCTGGCCATGTGTGACGGGGGACACCTCCCAGGCCTCTCCTGCTCAGTTCCCCCCCTGCCCACGTGGCTGCACAGCCCGGCTCGTTCTGCTGCCGGAGCCAAAAGACCATCTCCGCGTTCCTGAGGGCGGCGCCTGAGACCGAAGTGGGCTGTGTCTGTCCGTCCCGCCCAGGGCTCCCGCTAACCCCGCTGGGCGGCTCCAGTCTGTGGATTCTAGGGCTCACGTTCGTCATCGGATCTCGGGGCGACCAGTTAGCGTCACGCCCGTGCCAGGCGTTCGGCCTCCCCAGAAATGCTTCCAGAAGGAACCAGACGGCTCCACACCTGCCGAGGAAGCAGAGGCTGGAACAACGCCCTGCCCCACGGACACGGTTTTGGAGAAGAACCTCGAAGAGCCCCCCTCTCCTCTTTCTTATGCTCAGAGGCTGGGGTGGGGGAGGTCACGGAACCGGGGCCTGCTCCCCAAAGCGGCCCAGATGTGAAAACCGCAAGGCCTGCCCTCTGCGCTGCGCAGGAGCGAGACCCCTGCGTGGCAGCACCCTGGACCCTGCGCCCCCAAGCGCTCCAGCCCAGCCCGGCAGCGCACACACACCCTGCCTCCCTGCAGGCGCAGCTGGCTGGCCCTGGGGCCTGCTCTGAGCGCGCAGAGGGGCCGGGCTGCAGGGGCCGGGCTGCAGGCTCTCACCCTTCCTGGCGTTTGTGCTGCGGGGGGCTGGTGTCCCCTGGGGTGCTGCTTGAGTGAGCTTCGCAGCCCCTGGGGTGGAGCTGCGCGGAGCCTGGGCCTTCCTGGGCCTCACTGACCCCGAGCTGATTAAATGGAGGAGGCAGCTCTAGGCTTTTCTCCTTAAAAGTGACCTTCAGGAAGCACAGGCTCCATGGAGTCTCCCCGTTCTGAGACAGGGGCCGCTCCTGGCCAAGGGGCTCCACACGCCTCCAGGCCCCGGCTGGGGCAAGGCTCAGGGCACGGGGCTCCCCGGGGTGCCCTGGCCTGGTGGTCGGTGAATGCGTACTGGGTGGAAAAGCAGAGAAATTGCTAAAGGTCGACAACAGCCACGCGTGTCTCCCACAGCTGAGGGGGGCAGGCAGCCGCCTCCCTGGCTGTCTTCCTTTCCTGGGCTGGGAAACAGTGCGTGTGTTAAGCACTATCAACCCCAGGTGGGCCTGCATTATAATTAGGCGAAAATGGGTTTGTCTGGAAGACAAAGTGGGGCTAGGTCGTCACCTGCAAACACGAGGTCAGGTGGGCAGGCAGAAGACCCCGACAGCACACTGCTCAGGCCAGGCCCCTCGGGCCACGGCCAAGACGGCCAGCGCAGAAGTGTCTGGCTGGGCTCGCAGGCCGACAGGAGCCGGGGCCCTGGGAGCCGGGCAGGCCGGGCGGCCGCGTCAGGCGATGGCGCCGCACCGCGGGGGCACTGTGACAGGTGCCCGGCAACAGTGCAGACAGTGGCGGGAGGGGAACCTGGCTTCCCCTGCGAGTTTCTAGATTTTGTAAATCTAGAGCTGTAACCAAATAAAATGCTCGTTTAAAAATATTCAGCGGCCCTCCCTGGTGGCGCAGCGGGTTAAAGCACTGCACTGAGAATCTAAAGCCGCTTCCGCATGAGTTCGATCCCCGCCTGCCCCGGAGG